TCAATCTTGGACGAAAATGCCTGTCGAGTATACCAAAATTTAAGTTAGACATCGCTGGATGCAATGCAACTCGATTTTGGGTTCTACTGCTTATGGTCTTTGAGCTATATGTAATCAAACAGTTATACTTTTTTTTGCGCCACCCGGTAGAATTTAATGTATAAATGAAAAACTAAACTAACTTTATTTTATTACTGGAAATTAAGCTCTATCAGTTCTAAACTGTTCATCCTAGAGGTCCAGTATAAGGGTCATCTCTTATTTATCTGCAGTGTTACTACAGGAGGAAATCTAAACTAAACTAACTTTATTTACACTATAGATAACTATATCACTTCTAAACTGTTTTCCCTACAGAGATCCAGTTATAAGGGTTATCTCTTATTGATCCAGTGTTACTACAGGAGGAAATCTATAAACTAAACTAACTTTACTAGTATACCGGATGGCTCTGGTGATAACAAACTGTCAATTCATCTTAAGCTTATAGAGGTCCAGTACTGAAGAGGTATTATACCTGAACACTCAATTAACACTAATTCCTGCTCAATAAAGGTTTTGAAGAGTAAATAAGTGGACCATTTTTAACTTTTTACTGAGTATATATATATATATATATATATATATATATGCATTAAAAGTATTTTAAGTAATGTTAGATATCAGTACAGTACATTCATATTTGTAAAAAGGTTTTATAGTTGGTGTGATCATGATCACGAAATGTGTTTACCGACTTAATAAATTCAGATTCAGATTGATAATGTTCAGACTAATTTTTATTTTCAGATTAACCAGAGCTTCCTACACCATGATTGAGACGTTCTTATTGATGCTGATGATCACATTTGGAACCCCTTCGCAGCTAGATGAATGCGATGACCAAATAAGGAGTTGCAAAGGTTATTGGAGGTGTTCCAAGTCTTTTGCTTATAATCAGAACATTTACGAGAACGAAACGCCTTGTTCTTGTGACCCGCAATGTCGCTATGTGTTTGAAGACTGCTGCGCTGATTTCGAAAGCGTCTGTGATGCATCACTTTTGCTTGAAGACACAACACATCACCATTTCCGATGGCACTGCCGAAAAATATTTACAGAGCCAAAATACGCGAACAAGTCGTTGTACATGGTAGATAGATGTATGCAAGGTTGGTCGAATGGTGAAATTAGCATAAATTGCAGTACCCGTGAAGCAAAATCGTTTCACGATATTTTACTGGCCGTTCCAGTTTTGGACAGAAACGAAGTTCTCTTCCGAAATATATACTGCGCTTTCTGCAACGGAGTAAAGCCAAAAGATGTCAACTTTTGGGAAGTTAAATTTTCTGAGACAGCTGAATTCGATCACTTAAAGGCGCTTACTTCGAAAAAAAATGATGATATATCGTATGATCCTTTTCTTATGGATAAATTCGTCAATATAAGCGAAATAAGGCTTTCGAAAAATACATATGGTGTGAGAATTTGTCTAGATATTATAAAGTCTTGTATTTATACTCAGAATAGGGCTTTAGTAGAGGAATGTGAACACGGACCTGCGGCTCTTATCAGCGATGGAAACAGAAATTTTAAAAACAATGCTTGTTTAGCTTGTAACTATCAAAACAAAAGCAGTATTCCACGCGATCTAAACTGTGGACCATGGCCGTCCAAGACTGATCCATCGGAAAATTTTCCGTCCTATAAATACAGTTTAATATTTGGTGAAAAGCTCTACAGTAGTTTCACGACGAAAAATGTATGTCCCAAAGGATATCTCTTTAATGAAAAAAACGGACAGTGTCTGAGAACGTATTCATTCCCTCGGCTTAGCTCTGTGCATGCTCTTACGGCGTATTACATTTCTATTGAATATGAAAGCAAATCATTAAACACAACTGAATGTTTCGCACGAAACCGTTCTAATAACGAAAGTGTATTTGGGAATACGTTTGAGAGAGCTCTCTACAACAAAACTAATAACACAGTCCGTATTTCAATCTTTAAAGTCATCCCTGTCAAGGACAGCTATCTGGTAGCCTTGCGCATTGATAATACTGTCCAAAAACAACTCGGCAACAACAATGCAACATACAACACAACCCGAACAACGTCACAACTTAATAATGACTTTACTTTGATGTTTAAAAACCCAATAGTTGTCGAAGAGTGCCACTATATTCCAAAGAGAATAAGGTCCCGAGAAATGGTTTGTATCGAAAATAGGACATTTCCAATCGATATACAAGACGTAGAAGGGAAAACTACGATATTTCTCAGAGAGACGCAAAAGAATTACAGCAAAGGAGAATTTTGGGTTTTCGATCAACCGAATAACACGGTTGTTGTCGTATGTGAGCATTTCATGCCAACAAATTGTTCTTACTATATCAACGTAATGGAGCAATCTGATTGGCTCCTGCATGATAATTTGTCGCTTTTTTACAAAGTTACCGGAATGTTTTTCGAGTATGGCGACTACTCGATCAAGAATAATACAGTATGGCTTTGCCTGAGTGAGAAACATTTGCTTAACCAACCCACAATAAGAACAGAAATCAGCTCAATTCACGATAATATCCTAAGTTGGCTAACTATGTTTGCTACTATAATCTCATTAACAAGCCTACTTACTCTCGTGATAATATATTCCATTTTCCCAACCCTTCGCAATGTGCCTGGTAAAAACCTTATGCTAATGAGCACCGCCCTCGCCATCGCGCAGTTGCTATGGTTACTGCAAGATCAGATCTCGAGCATATTTTCCCGCCGTTGTGACGTCACGTTGATCGCATTACACTATTTTTTTCTGGCATCCTTCACTTCGTCCGGCTCAATAGCTTATCATTCATACAAAACGTTCTATTCTATTTCAAAAGGTCGGCTACAAGGAACCGAAAGCAAATTTGTTTGGTATATGCTCTACAGCCTAGGCTGCCCTGCAATTATCGTCGCTCTGTTTTGGCTTATAGACTTCCATGACGTTTTAAATTTTGGCTACAGTGAAACAAAGACATTTTGCTGGTTTAGTAAAGGCCTTAGTGGGTACATCGCATTCTTTGGTCCAATATTTTTACAACTTTTTATCAACTTGGTACTATTTCTCGCCACGTTAAAATGGATTTACCAGTGTTCGCAAGCAAGTTTAGCATTGGGTGAGAAAAATAGCGGTGTAAAGCGCCAAAATATTGGAATTTATTTACGAATGTCCACATTGATGGGTCTAACTTGGATTTTTGGCGGATTAGTGCTAACATTTCCAGGTGTACTGGTGTTGGATTACTCCTTCAACGTGGTGAATGGTCTTCAAGGATTGTATGTTGCGCTGGCATTTCTCTCGACAAGAAGTGTTCGAAAGTTATTAACTGTAAAAGCTAAGAACCAAAGAGAACGATCCACAATGAATGCTAGTGAAAGTAGTCTTTGAGACGCTTTATACGGTCGTTTTTAATTATGCTCAGAGTCGTAAGCCTAGTTCCCCTGATCACAGCAAGAATTTTGCATTCTTAGGACCTGTTCATATGTGGGGAAAAGTTATTCCGATTAGCGAGAAAACTTTTCGACAAGTTTACAAGCGAGATCTCGCCTTGGTATGAAAATAGTATGAAAAGTTACACTGCGTTCATATGAGACAAAAAGTTTTCCCGTGTACCCACATCTCGCCGAGATCTTTCTCGGTGACTGGGATGTTTTCCCATATGAACACAACTTTCCCGCTTAGCGGGATAACTTTCTGTCGTGTCAGCAACTTTCCAATTCAATTGATGTTCAGTGTTACGTCACAGCCGGAAACTTTACCCGGTAAGCGGAATAACGTTTCTCCATATCACAGAACTGACAAAAGTATTTGGCTAATACCGGGTAATTTTTGCCCCTAAGTTTTGAAGGATAAGAAATGTTTGAGGGAACTGGCAGTGTTCAACACTAAGTTACTTCCCTCAAACATTTCTTGCAAATCCTTTAAAACTTAGAATTTACCTATAGTATGCAAAATTCCTACTGTGATCACAGAAATTTTGATGGTGAAAACCAGGCATTGCAAATATTAAAATTCTGGGGTTTTATATGACGTCACGCGGGGATCAAGGGTCTGTGTCACGGGTAAAGACGACGGCTTTTTTATTATATGGACTGGAAGTTACTATCGCAAGGAAAATGCTGCCTCAACCCGTCTTCCATCACACAAGCACGTAAGGCACCCCTAAGACACCAGGAGGCAGGAAAAGTGCAGTTTGAATACGAAAACAGCTTGCACAAAGTCGAAGGTCGGCTAGATATTCTAATCATAAAGATTATAAATAACACTAGAAGAGGCA